CTTGTGACCAGATTTGCTTCCCGTGTTCGAGTTCCGGTTTCAGAGTCGCTCTGCGGACCCCAAAATTGGGCCAATGCACAGTAATGTAATGTAATGTAATGTAATGTGAGTGTTAATGTTAATGTTAGTGTTAATGTTAATGTTAATGTTAATGTTAATGTAAATATAAAGTAATGTAATGTAATGTAATGTAATGTAATGTAATGTAATGTAATGTAATGTAATGTAATGTAATGTAATGTAATGTAATGTAATGTAATGTTAATGTAAATGTAAATGTAAATTAAATGTAAATGTAAATGTAAATGTAAATGTAAATGTAAAGTAAAGTAAAGTAATGTAATGTAATGTAATGTAAAGTAAAGTAATGTAATGTAATGTAATGTAATGTAATGTAATGTAATGTAATGTAATGTAATGTAATGTAATGTATTATAATGTATTGAAATGTAATGTATTGAAGTGTTATGTAATGTAAGTTAGTGTAATGTAATGTAATTTAATGTAATGTAATGTAATGCAATCAATGCATGCATGCATGCATGCATGCATGCATGCATGCATGTATATATATATATATATGATATGATATGATATGATATGGTATGCTTTGTATATTGTCTGACATACCCCATTAAATCATTTACTGTGGCCTCCATCATTGGTTTACCTATGTAACAAATGTGCTTTATATACATATACATACTCCATGGTTCATTCCGTTGCATGCAGTCTCTGATAAAGGGACGATGAAATAGATTCAACATGTCTCCTTGTGACCCCAATCTACAGCTGCTGCGAGGCACGGCCCACTGTCGTTTCTGAGACGAGGTCGTTAATTGGACATATTGTATGTGTGTGTGTGTATATATATATATATATGGTGCAGCGCTGCTAGGCCGCCCCTCCCCCCCTCCACCCCATGGTATGGTGCAATGTATATATATATATATATGTATGCATTCTAGATGTATGTGTATGTACATCTGTAGATACTTGTAGGAGGTCCAAAAGCCGGTCTTGCACCTCGCGGTGTGAGGGCCCCCCGCCTCTGCAACTCCGCAGCGCACAGGTCCTCGGCCAGGGCGGCGCGGCGCTCCGGGACTTGGACCTCTCAAGTGCCAGGCCTGGGAGGTTTAGGGTTTAGGGTTTAGGGTTTAAGGTTTAGGGTTTAGGGTTTAAGGTTTAGGGTTTAGGGTTTAGGGTTTAAAATTTTAGGGTTTAGGGTTAGGGAGTTCAGAGCATCTGCTGTCCTTGCACTAGCTCGAAGCTTTTGGAAATGATCAAACCCGATTCCCTATAAAGAACCCCAAACCCTCATTCCAACCCCTCAGCCATGCAAAAAGAGCTAGTCCCAAAGGGTCCAAGTACTAGTATAGTATATACTTTGGGGCGGTTTAGGGTTTAGGGTTTAGGGTTTAGGGTAATACCGACTAAGTACCTACTACAATGGTACCTCTACCCTTTGGGAGTTTTGTATCAGGTCTGCAGCGGAGCATGCCTGGGAGCAGTTCGGAATCGCCCTAAGCGGTTGCCGCCAGCTGGGCAGCAGAGATGTTAGGCTTTAGGTTTTGGGTGGTTTAGGGTGTAGTTCTCAAGGATCTTGGGGGTTTTTAATGGAACCCTAAACCCTAAACCCTATAAGCCTGGTTTGTGTGAGTTGTCTCGGGACTTTGGGGGATGGTTTTTGGCTGGCCGTTGTGTCTGTGTGGAAGGGTTTTGGGGTATTTTATATTTCGATTAGAATAAGGAACCCAAAAGGCCCAAAGCGTCAACCATGTGGACGAAGCCCGGGGAATGCGCCCGGTGTGGTCTGGTAGTTACCTAAACCCTAAACCCTAAACCCTAAATCCTAAACCCTAAACCCTAAGCCCTAAACCCTAAACCCTAAACCCTAACCCCTCAAACTGTCTGGAGAGATTGGAGTCTGGGAACTTCGTCTAGGGCTTAATAAGGGACGACTGGGCTTGCGAATGTTTTGTGGAGATGACCTTAAGGTTTAGGGTTTAGGGTTTAGGGTTTAGGGTTTAGGGTTTAGGGTAAGGACGAAAAGAACCTTAAAAGCAGGGGCCCTATTCCCTTATACTATGAACCCGTATATATGGTAACGGAACCTTAAACCCTTTTAGGGCTCTTGTCGTCCTTGAAGGCCCCAGCCAATCGGGTACTGTAGAGCAGGTCGAATAGGTTGATCCGGCTTGCTCTACAGGGTTGTAGCGATCCCAGCGCTGCGACTCCCCCGAAGAGGCTTGTAGTTGGGTGTTTAAGATTGAGATGGCTTGAGGGTTCGGGCAAGTTCAATAAACAGAAAGGGACGCTGTGGGGGCCCAGTTTTTCCACACACAAGGTTTTGCGTAAAATAGTGCGCCCTTGATTCAATGCTTAGAGGGCCCGTCAAAACTACACGCTGCATATTCCCAAAGCCTAGAACTTCTGGCCATGCAAGGCTTGGCATCATTGAAGCTCCGGCAGAACCCCGCCATTGGCGACGTTGCGGCGGAGGCTTTTGCTCAGTCGCTCGCGAAGCCAGACTGCCGCTCGTCCCAGAAACCCTAAACCCTAAACATTAAACCCTAAACCCTAAACCCTAAACCTAAACCCTAAACCCTAAACCCTAAACATTAAACCCTAAACCCGAAACCCTAAACCCTAATAGCCTCAACTTTACAAGCCTCAGGCCCTAGAGGCAAGATTCTGTGGAAGTCAGAGACTGCACACCATCCGTGAACAAACCCTATACGTTATGATCTAACATAACATAATGAGTTGTAATCAAATAAAAGTATTATACAATACAACTTATAATATAATGGAATGTAATATAACGCTCCATATACATAAATATTGATATAGTATCATATGATATATTATGATGTAACCCAATATAGCACAATGTAACACACAGTATAATATGATATAACCTAACCTAAATCTACCTAGAGGATCTTTCGTAATGGAAAAAAGTATAACGAAATAAAACTATGCGATCTACAGCAAAAGTGTGCGTATTTATAAAAGCATGCGGTTTGAGAAAAAAGTGTTCGATATATTTTCGGGACATCATATCATGGCTTTGCTGACTACATGATGCGATATGTGTACTTATAAAGCATCCGGTTTAGGGTTTAGGGCACATATTGGGACAAAGCTCATACATGTAGCAGTGGGGCATATACCGACATACTTCCAGCCAATAAGATTGGGGAACTTAAGTAGGCTTCTGTTCCTTCGAAAGACCTATCCAGGTGGGGCCTTGAGGGGGTTTTAGAAGTAATTCAGAAGTCTTGGGCCCGAGGTGTGTTTCAGGTTTCAGAAACCCTACGTTCCGTGCCTGAATAGAACCTTGCCTGCCCTGCTTATCCCCGCATAGACGCAAAAATCCGTACTTATAGATCCCACTCTATGAGGGCTTCCGAACCCCATCTACAGAACCCTTAAGCCTCAAAAACCCTAAAGCCCTGGGGGCTTCTGCACCGACATGCAAGCGCACATCACTTTCCTCGGCGACATTCATCGAAGATGCCTGGAGCTCAGCTGAGAAACCTTTGCCACTGGCGTTTGTACTGAGCCAGCGAACGGGCAATCGTACGATGAACTACTAGAAACGGGTGACAACGTCGGCTAGCCCTGCTGATTCTTCCGATCCAGTCTTCGTCGCTCCAGCAAACCCAACCTAAGTTTAGATGCGTGCTTGTGATGCTCGCCGGATGCTTGTGATGCTCGTTTGTGGGCGTTATCTAGCCAAGACACTCATAATGTTGATCGCAAAGTCGCAGCCGCTGTCGATCGCCCATTGTAGTTCCAGACTTAGCTGGGCTGCCAAAGCAAGCCGTGCACTACCAGAACCCGGGCTTAAGGGTTTACAGGCTTAATAGTGCTACGTAGGGCTTATATAGCGTTTAGGGCTGTAGTAGGGGCTTGGGGGTTAAATCTCGGTCTCAATGTAATGCACTGCAATACCCGTATGTTGCGAGGCACCACAAACATAGCTGCCTAGTGCATCAAGGACACATAAGATGGCAATAGAGGTGCAGCTTTGGTCGTAGCTTGAATAAACACCATTTGCGCGCTGCCGCCAAGCGGGCCAAGTGGTGATAGCCTTCCTGGTCAAGAAATAAAGAACTCGTATTTGTGTGTGTCATTCCATGAAACGGGCCTTGCTAATTCTATATCAGTGCTCAAGCCAAGGATCAAGCATTTTCCAGCCACATTCCACAGCTTTCATAGCATCAGTTCGGCAGACGAAAACTCCTGCCTGGTACAACACTCGAAAGTGAGTTCCGAGAGCAACCAAGGTCCACTTAAAGAGCTTGAAGATGTCGTGGTGCTGGGGTGCCTCACACACCATGCAACTCATATAGAGATCACTAGTAGATTTTGCTAGATCTGAATAATGCAATTCGAGTTGCAATCGTAGTAATGTCGATTTCATGAGACATGGTTTCCAGCCATCCCAGCATTACCGAGCAATCGTGCCCCTTTCCGGGCCCCTTGGGAAATTCGTTCAACCTCGGAACAAAAAGAATTGTTCACAATAGATTTCGACTTTGGCTTTGCGGGACGGAGGAAATAAACTAGCTCAATATCTGCCGGGGCACGAGTTGATTTTCATCCCCTGCAAGGTAAACTCAGTTATGGACGTAGTTTTTCCCATAGATCGGCAGTGATCACGGAAGAGCTCAAAAGCATGGTCCAAGCATTCCTGAATGGTGGCTTCCTTGAACAGACCAAGGCGAAGGAAAAGTAGAATTCCCCCAGAGCAAAGATCTTTACCCCAGCCAGCGATGGCGTAGCAATGGGCTGGATCGGGCTTGATTCGGCGGGGGTCGTTCGCGATGTTTGTCAAGTTACGGAAAGGCTTCGTGGTCGGTAGAAACGGATCTGGGATCGGATCGTCTGCTTGCAGACGACGTACCTGGCTGTGCTTGGACAAGTCGTACCATTCCTGAGCTAGAGGATTGTATTGTGGGCTTGTATATGTGCAGTCCTATAGCGCTGATATAATAGCACAAATCATGGAACCGCCAAGTTTCATCTGATCTGCACAGATGACAGACCCTTTTGCTTGTGAAACCTGTTTTCAGGTGGCAACTCTTACGTAAAAACGGCCAATCGCCTTTGATGGCACACACCACCAGGTATATGCGATGTGTTGTGCCGCCAACAACAACCTCAACTTGCAAGCTGCAAACCATAGGCATGTACGTCATGTAACATTGGTGCATGTTATAAGCCAAAGGACCTCGACGCCTTCGGTACACAATTGCTCCAAGTCATTTGCCAGCTCTTCCAGCAGTGTGTCCAGTGTACTCGCAGCATACATTTCGCTCGGCACGACCGTATACAGCAAGCGGCTGCAGTAGCTGTGCCTTCATTTTCAAAGCACCCGAGCAAAGCTTCAGCCAAAGCCACCCAAACCCTAACACAGTAGCCGGCAGCTAGCTAACCACAAAGATAGATCGTATTCCTGAATGCAACTTTGCACCCTGATGTATTTGTAACAGCAGGTCCAAGGTAGGATATCAGCGGTTGCCAGCCAATACACATGATAGGGCGTTTGTTCTTCCCACGGCCCTCGTCCCCATGCAGAGCTATTGGTATGGTAAGCTTTGGATCAGCAACCTGAGCCTCAGGTTGGGAGGCTTGGAACTTCGACCAAAAGCTCTGCAGCATTGCCTGCCAGCCTGGCACCGAGCTGATGTTAAAGCCACCCAGAATAATTTCGCTGCAATGTCCCAGCATATACCGTAACCATGTTGAAGGATAAAGAATTGGATAGTCCATCGTCTCAACCTTTGGCCTTCCTTTCAGCAATCGTACTTTCGTAGGAAGCAGGGATACCTGGATTGGCAGAACCCGCTGTTCACGGTACATCAGCTTATGAAGGTTTCGGCTGCAGTTGGCTTGGGATCTTCCTCCTGTGCCACAAGCAGCAAGCTTGTTCAATCCATAATCAGTGAGGCCTCCGATCCAGCTGAGAAATTCTTCTACCAGGGAGGTTAGTACTGCAGGGATTCCAGACCACAGGGCAAATTTACCAAGAGCCTAACCTATGTCTATATAATTGAAAACCCAACCCTGGAATCTGGTTCAACCTGTAACCTGAACCTATATGGATCGAGTTATATACACAGCTGTAGCCGAAAGGGTCGTATTTATCGGTAAGAGAAATACCCAGCCTATCGATATTGATTTATTAGGGCCCTGAAGAAGCACCAGAGATAAAGCCGACTAGCCACCATGTTTCTTCAACTTTCGAGCAGCCACTTGGGCAACACGAACCACTCGCTTGGCACTGTCTACCTGAGAACACCAGCTTGAATAACAGTTTCCGGAACCCCGATAGATCACCTAGATTTCAGTCCAGAGACTCCTTGCTCGAAGCCGTAGAAAAGCTCATCCACCAGGTCGGCGTCCGAGTCGCTGTCATCATCACTTCCTGCAGAGGAGCATTCATATCCGAAGGGTTTAGGGGTTTAGGGGTT